AAAGAGTGATGTTTATAGTTTTGGGGTGCTTTTGTTGGAGCTAATAACTGCAAAAAAACCAATAGAGCGAGGGAAGTATATTGTAAAAGAGGTGAGAATGGTAATGGATAAGGCAAAAGACTTGTATAGTCTTCATCATATTCTTGACCCAGCCATTTTGGATACAAGCCTGAAAGGTTTAGAGAAGTTTGTGGACCTAGCAATGAGCTGTGTGGAAGAATTAGGAGTTGATAGGCCTAAAATGGGTGAAGTGGTAAAAGCGCTTGAAAATGTCATGCATATTGCTGGGATGAATCCCAACGTTGAGACACCCACAAGTTTAGCAAGTTATGAGGAGGCATCTAAGGGAAGTCCCTTCCATCCTTTTAGCGATGAGTCCCTTGCTAATAGTAGTACATTTCCAGCTTCAAATTAAGGTTTGAACATGTATTGCATTTAACTTTAGATTTTGGAGCATTGAACAACTTCTGTGTCTAGCATTTAGTTTGACAAGAGGATCTATATATATGTGTGTGAAAATTAGAATGCCCTAGTGCTTAAAATATCAAGATTGTCTCTAAAATTATTTAAATACTCTTAATAAATCTTCTTTACATGTTGATTCACAAAGAGTATTTAAATGTTTTCATAGGCAATCTTGATATTTCAAAAATATTTATATGTGTGTGTACAACTGTACAAGTATGCTTTGTATTGTATCTCTTTCGTTTGTTCCAAACTGAAATGGATATAGATGATGGCAAAGAATTGTGTAGAAAGATCCTAAAATGCTTTAGGAGCAATGTTGCAGTGAGGCAATCTCTCCCAATTTTATTTTTGGTGTTTATCATATTCTCAAAATTACATCGGTAAATAATTACTTTTTTATCTTAAAATAATTTTTATTAAAAAAATGATTGTTTTCATTTTTAACTCAAAATTTGGTCCAAATTAATTATTGTTAGTTAGATTCAAAGAGAGATTTTTACTTGTGCCTTAAGATCATAGATTAAAAAAATTCTTAAAAATAACTAATTAAAATTAGTTAAAAATAATAACTTTATATTTTTAATAAATTACTATGTGAAAAATATTTGTACCAAACATTGACAAACAAGCAGCCACATTTTGGTCTTTTTTCTTCAGGCAGTCCCAACTAGAACTAAAATGCCGTTAATAAATCTCTATAAATTATTTATAAATAATTTTTTAAAGTGACAATATTTACGAAACTCAAAATGTAACTACAGTGTAAAAACTGAATTTGTGAGACCAGTATAGGAATGGATTCCGCAGTTGTTAAGAATAGCAATCAATATATACAAACATATCTGTGGTTATGAAATTTATGAAAGTTACTCATTAAACTTTGCGTTTTGTTTGTTGAGATTATTATAATTGTCAGATTACAACATAGAAATTTACATGTCACTGCTACATTACAACTCTGCTGCTTTTTCCGATGACTTGTCTGAAAAGTGAGCTATGATGAAACCGGCAATAACCTGTATCCAACAAAATTTGATGAATGAAGTCCTTCATTTGCATACTACTAGAAGACATGTAGGCATTAAAAATTAGTTCTTAAAGCATATACAATAGAAGGTTTTTTTTTTTTTTTTTTTTTTTCATCCCACCTGTATGCTACGTGACTCGAACTCAATACTTCTTATTTCCAGCGAAAAGAAATTATTACTGAACTATTTAGGTTGTTGGCATATACAATAGAAGTTCTCTTTCATTTTTCTCTTTAAAAATAAAATAAAGACAAACTTTTATCTCATTAGAGCTCTACTAGAACTTTTTTTAAAACTAGAATTGTCTCTCTATTACATTGTCTAACATCGACTTATTTGTTAGATATGTGCATTAAAAAAATTTTATTAAGTAATTTGTTTAAAAACTATAATTTTTGGAAAATAAAGAAGGAAAACAGGTCAAATTTCTCAAATTTTAACTAAGTGGATGACAAATAATACTGTTTTCATCCATCTCATGAGACAAATTTTATTAAGTATTTTATTTAAGAGATAAATATTTAAAATGTAAATTTATATGAAATAACATTAATTATGATAATATATTGATATAACTTTAAAAAAATAATTTGTATTGTTCTCCATGGTTCATGCTGTTATATTCCCACCCCAACCCAAAAAAAAAGCGCAAAAGGGACGGATACTTCCTCTGCGCTTATTATCCGTACAATTCTTATGCTGTTTAAAACAAATCTCTACCGCCAATTTTCTTTTACCAGTTACACATGATGATCCTCCGCTTATGGAATTTGAATTTCATATTAACAGCGAATCCAAAACTCCTGAATTAAAAGCAAATCCTTAACCACTGCTCTCCAACCGTCCTTTTTCTTCCTTAAAACGGCTCCTACCATGCTCACCCCTGCTTTCCTTGATTCTCGTATTTTCTAGCAA